AAAAAAAAAAAAAAAAAAAAAAAAAAAAAAAAAAGACATACCCTCACTGAAGCACTGGGCAGAAAAAAATGGGAAACAACCTGAGTATGTCCAAGTGAGAAATACCAACAGGGCTGGTTAAATATATTCAAGCGTATCTATAAAACAGAAAAGAAAAAAATGAAAAAGAAAAGAAAACTAAGCCATCTCTGTGTTGATAAAAGATATTGTTTAAAAAAAGCAAATGCTAAACAATATGTATCAGGATCCCATTAATGTAAAAAGAACTTGTACATTTATTTATATAAGCTTGTATGTGCCTATAAAATTTCTGGAAATGAATATTCACATATAATGATTATTTCTGGAGCATGTGATTAGGGGTGGAGGTGGGAAAGCTTTTTGATTTACTGCATTTTCTTCTACACTGTTAGGCTTTTTAGACCATCCTCTTGCATTACTATTACCATCAAGATAACAGTTTTTAAAAATCCCCAATAGGTCACAACTATATGTCTGGGCTTGGCAAAATACAGCCTAAAGCAAATTTTTTTTCTTAACAGCTCAAGACTTAGGGTTTTTAACATTTACAAATGGTTAGAAAAAAACAAACAAGAGAAATAATATTTTGTAACACAAGGCCTTTTATATGAGAATCAAATCTTGGTGCCTACAGCTCCCCTCATTTCCTTACAACTATTCACAGAAGATTCTGAGCTGCAGTGGTGGAGCCCAACAGTGACAGAGAGCCCACAAAGCCGAAAAGACCGAGCATCAGGCATCTTAGCTGAAGCCTGCTGACTCCTGCTCTAGTGGGGCACTGGGTGTCAGGAGGTTTTCTGACCAGCAGGATCAGTGTAATGGGGCACAAAGATGCAGATGGAGGCTACTCTCCATCTACTGACTCAAATCTGGAGATGAGGTCAGCAACCTGTTCTTTAACAGCCCAAAGGGTGATCCTCATGCGCTCCAGGCTTGAGAGCTACTAGCCCAGAGTAACTTTTCAGCTCTGAAACCAAAAGGAAACAGGAACTGTTGTGAGTAATGGCCCCAAACTCAGGACCTCCTCCCAGTGGGATGAGAAAAGACACTGATGCAAACAAAGTCCAATGGCCAGTAGTTTCACTTAGTTCTGTAAAGATGAATGCAATACTGTTGAATCAAATCCACAGGGGTGTTTTTTTGTTTTTTTGTTTTTTTTTTATAATGGTGATCGAACTTGGGACCTTGTGCTTGTGAGACAGGTGGCAGAACCACTGAGCTAAATCCCTAGCCCTCACAGGGGTGTTCGGGGTACGTTTTTTCTGTTTGTGGAGATGGAATAGAAAATTTGGTCACTCAAGGTAAAATCAAACCATGATTTGGCTCACTAATTGCATCTGTAGGTAGGATCACATGCTCACATGCTCACAAATGTGTCTCTTCTGAGCAAAGTATATATTATTATTAGTAATGATAATACTAGTGAAATAGTAATATCACATTTCATGAATACATTCTTTGATTAAGCTCAATGCCTTTTGAGACAGGGGCTTGCTAAGGAGCCCCAGATTGGCCTCAAACTCATGCAGTCTTCCTGCCTCAGCCTCTTGAGTGCTGAGATTACAAGCACGCCCTATCACACTGAACTCCATACATTATCTCTTACTAACTCTATCAGACAGGCAGACAGACACCTGTTAACATCACTATTTTATGAATGAGGAAATAAGATTCTCATCTCTATACTCAATAACCAGGCTCCACATTCAAGTCTTCCAAGTCCAAATCTAGGTTTGTGTCTGCTGGCCAAAGCTGCTTCCTGACAGTGGGTTGCCTTGTTATAAAATGCACTGCTTCAAGGATTAAATTTTGAGGAAAGTTTGTTTTTTGAAACGCAAAAAATATACCATGTGGAAAATTAAAATTTAGAATGAAGATGCTATTCATGAAGGGTGTTTTGGGCAATACTTAGAATTAAACCCAGGGGGTCTCATCCATGCAAGGCAAGTCTCTACTAGGGAGCTACATCCCCAGACCTTTTCCATGAAAATTCTTAGGTGATCTAATTAGGAGGCACAACAGATCTGAATTACCAAAATTCCTGAGCCCCACTCTCTTCACCATTAAAAGAATGTTTTATCTATTACAAGGCTGATATGAAGGTTAGCTGATACATACATATGTATATGTATATGTATATGTATATGTATATGTATATGTATATATACAAGTGTGTGTTCCTGGTGGTGCATGCCTGTGCTCACAGCACTAGGAAGGATGAGGCAGGAGAACAGTGAGTTTGAGGCTAACCTGGGGTTCACCTGTCTCAAACCCAAAGACAAAAACAAAAATGAGTGCTCTATAAATGCTGCTTTTCCTTTCCCTTCTTCACTCTAGATCATGCTTATCTGGAGTCTCTAAATGTATTCTTTCATTCAGTCAGTTTCTGCATTTACACTATATGGCACCCTCGGGATGTAGGAAATACAATGGGGAACAGGGAGGGACTGTCCTTACTTTTGCAGAGCCTCCATTCTGGTGGTGGGAGGAAAACAACAGCAAATCCACTGGATTCATCAGATGGTGATATGAGTGATGGAAAAAGGGTCAGAGTGGCAGAGCACTGGACGGAATCTTGGAATTGAAGTTCTACTCCTGGTCCTTGCCAGAAGCTATGTGACCTCAAGCAGTAACAATTAACAGTGCGTACAGACTGATCAAGTTTCCTGGTGCCAAGATTCATGCTGAGCACTTTAAAGATGTTACCCACTGAGACACACAGGCTTAGTAATATGAGGAAGTTGGGCTTCATTATCTTAGAGGTTCCTCTAGCTCTGACATTTGTGCCTTTATTCAGCAACATTTGATTGTCATGCTATAAGCCAGGTAATGGGATTATGTAGCATCTGATCAATTTCAGGACTCAAGAAAATTTTTTTCAGTGTAGCAGATTACATGAAAGAGAAACTATCTTTACCAGTATTATCAAGTTCAAGTACATAGTCATTATAGGGGGAATCTTTTCTATGTACTTAAACTTGAAGTATGAAGTCATCAAGTCTCTACTGGGATAAGTGGATAAGGCTTTTGAGACATTCACTTTTTGAACAAAGTGTTGCCGGTGTACCTGTCCTGACCAAATGATGAGCTCAATACCAAAAAAGATGCAAGCATACTCACACATAACTGGATGGCAAAATTCTAAGCATCAGAAACAGCCTGACCATAGCCAATCTGTTGACAGTTATGATTCCTTAGCGTTCCCAGCAATTCTATTTTCATAAGATACTTTTTTATTTGAAATGAAATCTTTTATTTCAATCTGATAAGATACTCTGTATACGTTGTCACAAGATAATAATAGGATAATAAGGTACAATGGCATGTTTATTTCACTAACTACTCATTACAAACCTGAAAAAAAAATCTAGTGTTTTCACAGGTTAAATGAAGAAATGGGCTGAAGTCATGGTAACTTCAGAAAAGAATGGCCTTCCAATTAGCATGGGAGAGGAAACGGGGACCCTCAGTCTTGTTTATCATATTGCAATTAATGAGAAGTAATTAAAATTTTCAAATGCAGAGAGAACAAAATTAAAATCCCAGTTCCTACTACATTCAGGGTTATAGAAAAGATATAGAGCTACAGATCACTGTAGAAAAGGTCTGTAGAGTTTTCTCTATATTTCTTTGCTTTGTAAAAGCAGTATTGTTACAAGTATATCTAACTTGCAACTTGCTACTCCTGTCAATAATATCATTCATTTGGTGCCTGATGACCATCCTCAGAGATAGGTTTGCATTGTCATTTACCCAGGATGGACAGCACACCCTCTTTCTGTAAAGCTATTTGGGGAAACAAGATGCAGCTACGTACTAATTACTGTAAGAGGCAAGTGAACTAATCTGAAGTTTAGGAGATGCCAGTAGGAAATCATCAGAAACCTCAGGGTAGCAGGGGAGCCCAGAACAGCAAGGGGTTGCTTGGTACTAATTTCGTCTTAAAAGCAATGATCACAGCGTTGTTACTGTTGACTACCTAACAGGAACTCTATGCAGGGTTTTTGCAGGCAGTAAATCT